AGATTTGGAGGACGGGGGTGGGAGACGCTCTCCAAAGCATATGCCATGATTTATTTAAGATTTGACTCCGTACTGCATTATATCAGAGCAGTGACTCCGGCATTATGTGGACATAGGATTTAGTCTTGGCTCCGGAGCCGCGGCGTCTCAGTGATTGGCTTTTGTTTGTTTATCTGTGAGCGTACAGTAAACAAACAGCATTCCAGGCCAGGGTTCCCCGTTGTGTTTCTCCGCTCGGCACATCTGAGTGACGGATGCTCTGGTTCCAGCAAGTTCACTTAAATGTCAAGCAGCAGCATCCGCTAATGTTGTCTAACAAAAAAAAAAAAGAAATGGAGGTCAGACTGATGTATACCACCCATAACAATCCCTCTCGACATTTACGGCGCTTGCGTGTCAGTTTGATGTTTGGGGAAACATATTGGGAACAACTGGAAAGCACCAGCTGAAGGAGAGCCGTCAAAAGTTGAGTCATGCGGCGGGATTGCTCGGATATTTCCCAACATGTGAATCTTAACTGTTAGAAAATATTAAATTTGTGCCAATCTCTTTATTTTCTACACTGGAAAATCCACCTTTCTTGATTTACTGAACATTTCTGGTGCACACAGAACTGGCCATTTTTGTCAAGGCTGCTAAAGCGACACATCAAACACATTTCTAAGCTTCTTTCATTCGACACTTCTCTTCGAAAAACTTTTCTCTGGAAGTTTTACAGATTTGAAACCTCCATCGATTTAAAAAAAAAATAAAATCCTCATAGAGAGACTATAACCTTTTCTGAAGTTGGGGCAGTTTTACAGACTTTTCTGAGACATTTTCAGGGTTTTCTACTGAGAACTTTGTCTGGCTGCAGCTCAGTGTCAAATATCTCTCAACTTGTGACAATTAATTGGTAGAAAATGTTGAATTAGTGTCAGTTTCTTCATTTTCTGCACTGGAAAATCCTTCTTTGACCTGATTAGTGATGCATTTAGAATATTTCTGCTGTCGTGGGAAACTGTGGCCACTTAGAGAGCGTCCAAAACATTGTTTTTTCAAACATTTCCAAGTTTCTTTCATGAGATACCTGCGTTTCCTGCATGCTTCTGCTGCTTTGGGCTCTTGGACACATGTATACATGGTAGTGTCCTGCTCAGTGCATTTAAGCTTTTGCTGTGTTTGGAACTTCACATGATGCCAAACAAATGGTTTTTCTTGAAGGCTTACAGATTTGAAACCTCTATCATTTAAAAAAAATCCTCATAGGGAGACTATAAACTTATCTTTCTGAAGTTGAGGCAGTTTTACAGACTTTTCTGAGACATTTTTCAGGGTTTTCCGCCGAGAACTTTGTCTGGCTGCCACTCAATGTCAAACATCTTCTAACTTGTGACGGTTAATTGGTAGAAAATGTTGCATTTGTGCCAATTCCTTCATTTTATACACTTGAAAATCCTTTTTTGACCTGATTTACTGATGCATTTGGAATATTTCTGCTGTCGTGGGAAACTGTGGCCACATACAGAGCGTCCAAAACGTTGTTTTTTCAAAAATTTCCAAGCTTCTTTCATTAGATACCTGCATTTCCTCTATGCTTCTGCAGCTTTGGGCTCTTGGACACATGTATACATAGTTGTGTCCTGCTCAGTGCATGACACTAGAGAGCTTTTGCTGTGTTTGGAACCTCACATGATGCCAAACAAATGGTTTTTCTTGAAGGCTTACAAATTAAAAACCTTTATCATTTAAAAAAATCCTCATAGGGAGACTAGAAACAAACCTTTTCTGAAGTTGGAGCAGTTTTACAGACTTTTCTGAGACATTTTCAGGGTTTTCTACTGAGAACTTTGTCTGGCTGCAGCTCAATGTCACATATCTTTTAACTTGTGACGGTTAATTGGTAGAAAATGTTGCATTTTGTTGCCAATTCCTTCATTTTCTACCCTTGAAAATCCTTCTTTGCCCTGATTTACTGATGCATTTAGAATATTTCCGCTGCAACAGGACACCGTGGACACGTACAGAACATTTTCTACTGATTTAAATCTAAGGTAAACACACCGAGACGTGTTTGTGCAAAGACGTAAGGGAAAATTCCAGCCGTCACTGATTAACTCGACTGTATTGACTCCTAATGATAATCACGCTGCACTCAAGGCGTAAAAAGGCAAATACGACGACGCACTTATGCTTGAGAAGTGAAAGCTCCTGAAATAAATGCACTTCTTTTTTTCTTTTTTTTTATCCAAGAGCACTTCTCAGTGTTGAGCTTGCTGGATATTTATTACCGACACAGTCTCCTTGTTTGATCCCTGACTCCAGGTTAAACTGACCTGCTCTTGTCACCGTGATCACCGGCAACTGAGGGAGTGGGAGGGGGGCAGATTTTGATGTAGCAGCGTTGAACATTGACTCAATAAATGGAAGTCTTTATGGCAGGTTATTATAGGGCGCTTGATACCACTTCCAGGAAGGTCAATGGGCAGGTTGGAGCTGGAGTGTGCAGCGGCGGCCGTAATCACTCCACTCGATACGCTACAGTAATTGCAGACCCGGGAACTCATCTAGATGAACAAACATTAGCCCCGGGAGGTTAGAAGAATGTCCGGATTAAGTGGAAGTTGTCTGATGCAAACGACGGAAAGTGCCGAAAAGCTGAAGCGCCGCTCCGACAACCTCGGCAGAGAGGACTTCAACGCACAGACCATTAATCCAGCCGACGCCGGGAGAGCAACTCGTTCTCAACCTACACCGGAGGAACACCAGCTGTTCTTAAACACATCGCCAGTGCGATTGTGACATTAAAAATTAATTGTGTAAGCCAGTAAAAAAAGTTGAGCAAAGATGTAAAGTGGCAGCCAGGGAACATTTGTAGCCTATAAAGCAGTAAAAAAAGCAGTAAAATGTGTAAACAGCGTCACGAGATGTTGAATAAAAGCCAAAAACAATCTTCTTAGGTGTCGAAATAAGTGAAGCTTTGCCCTGAGTTTCCTTTTATTTATATATTTACACATGGAGGAACCCAAAGATGGTTGTATTTGTGTATTTGTGAATGAAAATGACAAAAATCTGACTGTGCACATGTTTTGTAATTTGGAGTATATTACTATTTAACAACTTTTTATACGTGTTTTCTTGTTACTGCTTCATTCTAAACTGACATATATGATCAAACTAGCACTGGTTTTGTCCTTTAGCTTCTTGGTTGGGTATTAAGAGGAAGAACTGGACACCAGATTTTAAAATAACATCCAATCAAAGCTGCTAAATCGGCACATTGGCCTCAAAACAGTTTCCATTTCATTCGACACCGATATTCTCTGCATGTTTCTACAGGTTTGGGCCCTCGGGGCATTTAAACATAGTCGTGTCCTTCTCAGTAGACAGCAGGCTGAACTTAACCGCCACCGCTGGATGTAGTCAGAGGAACTGGACACAGGAGTCAGAGATGGCAACTCAATCTTTTCTTGGGATCAAATATGAGGCCCGAAATGTGCCAGTGGGCTTGAAAATCTTTCTTATTCCTCTCAGAAAATGAACCAAATCTATGCTTCAAATGAGAATATTTCATTTAAAAAAAATCAATTTCTAATACACGTCTTCTTTCATGATCCATTTGCACTCATCACAAATCAAAGCAAATAAAAAAAATTCATTCCTCAGCACAATTTTAAAGCCAAGACGAGTGACTCAGCTGTGATTAACAGTCAGGTCATAAAAAATCAGAGAGCTTTAAGACGAACTGGGCTTAACTGAAAACTGTGTTTAGACAGAACAAATATGAGACAAGTAGGGAAACATGTTAAAATGAAAATATTAACAGTATGTAGAGCCACTTCCTGATTCTTTGGGGAAAAAAAATCTAAAATATACGTTCAAATTTCTTTCTTTCTTTCTTTCCGATGTATAATATTCTGACTTTGCAATCCTGCACAGAAGTTCACAGTAGTATTTATTTTCTATTATTATATTATTTATACTTAGATTCTATTTTCTATTTTTTGATTGTCTTTCGTCACGTAAAAATTTCTTAAAAAAAGAAAAAAAAGTATAGTTTCCGCTTGCTTGTTTTCCTGCTTGCTTTTTTTGTACATTCTTATAGAATTATTTATTTTGTGCACTGTGATAAAACAATTCCCCTTGAGGCTCTTTAAAGTTTATCTTAGTCTAAGAAGACGTTTCTGAGTTTTGTCTGCTTCTAGTCATGGTTGTGTTGTTTCCATAAAGGTCCAGGACTTTACACGAGAAAATTAGGCCACAGTGAGTAAAAAACATAAAACAAGCCATAAAAAAACATAAAAACTGCTTCTAGTTCAGAGAATTGAAGTCAAGAAAGCCTGTAAAAACAGAAGCTATAACAACACTAGGTCTGACTGTACTTTTTTCTGACACAGTTCAGAAAAAAAGGTCGCTGAAGTGGAGAAATCTTTACTTTCATAAGCTTTTCTTTTAAACTCAAGGAAGAAAACATAAATCACATCATCCTTTTCAAATTTCTTTTACGCTGTCAAACTTTTTTTTGTTGTTTTTGGACAAACTCCAAACTACTTTCTGCATGTAGACCAACTCTGGATGTTCCTCAGAGCTCCACTTGATGACATGTGAAATAAGCGCATGCTGCCTCCAGAAGCTCCAGATTCCCAGCGACAGTGAAGCCACCTGTGACCCTGCTGCTGTCAGATCCACACACCTCCACCACAGCAGCTACACGAGCTGACTGCTGCTGGCCCAACATGTGCATGATCCTGATAAGGAGCAAGACAAGCTGCTTCACACTGCTTGTTCTTTTTCTGTTGTGCATGTGTGACAACAGATCCGTTTGTTCAGCAAGCAAATGAGGGGAAACACAAGCTTAAATGAAACTGAGGAACACTGGTTGTAATCTAATACATTTAGATTGCTTTTAAAATGTTTATTCTAACAGGATTAGGTGGCAGGCACTGTTCCTTGAGTTATTTTTTTTAGATTGTTTTCTTAAATGCATACACAAGTCATTTCCTCCTGCATGTGGGACTTACCTGCTCCAGAATTGCTGCGTTTTCTGCCCTCCTCAGCTTCCTCCCACGCCAAAACACTGCGGTTGAGGACAACTTCTACCAGCCTGTGCTTCTGCAAGAGCTTCGATGACAGTAATTTGGCCTGTTTATCCATATTTTTTGGCGGCTCAGACGTGTCATTAGCTGCTGTGTCCAGTGATCCTCATCTCCAACTTTGCGCTCCGGACTGAGGAGCGTCTGAGCCGGTCTGAGCTGCACTCTGCGCGCAGATCGTGTGTGAAGAGATGAGTCACTCAGGAGTGGAAAAAAAAAAAAAAGGGAGCAGAAGCTGGCCTAGTTTACATTCTGGGAGGGAAGTAATAGGTTTGATATGAATTGC